GTTGTCGGCGCGCTGTTGTCGGCGCGCTGTTGTCGGCGCGCTTTTGACATCGCCATTTTAGCGCCGCGGTTTAGTCAGGCGCGCTTTTGTCATTCGTGCATTTGTGGTGGAACCCCCTCAAGGCCCCCAACACCTATATATCAGGCTGGACCAATGACTTCTGTGTCTACATCTCCCTATAAGAGCTCTGGCTAGCAGCCAGGTCAGTTCATCAGCCCCCACAACTGCCCTTCAAAGCCAGAACTGAAATGCTTCTCCTCTTCTCTCTCCAGTTGATGTCTCACACTGAGAAAATAGCACTCATGCCAGGCTACTAAAAACCAGAAGTTTATGTAAGACACAGAAGAAAAAATATAGTCTCCAGAGTCAAGCAACCCTGCAATTTGCGCTAATTATTCCAACAAACTTTCTTTTTTTTTAAATCGTCTCTTGTATGTCATTGGCTGTTTTACATAAAGTAAAGGTAAAGGTTCCCCTCGCACATGTGTGCTGGTTGTTTCTGACTCTAGGGGGCAGTGCTCATCTCTGTTTCAAGGCTGAAGAGCCAGCACTGTTCGAAGACATCTCCATGGTCATGGGGCCAGTATGACTAGACCCCGAAGGCACACGGAACACTGTTACCTTCCCACCAAAGGTGGTCCCAATTTTTCTACTTGCATTTTTTACATGCTTTCAAACTGCTAGGTTGGCAGAAGCTGAGACAAGTATTGGGAGCTCACTCCGTTATGCGGCGCTAGGGATTCGAACTGCCAAACTGCAGAACTTCTGATCAACAAGCTCAGTGTCTTAGCCACTGAGCCATCGCTTCCCCATCTGTTTTACATAAAGCATGCTAAAGAAAAAAAGCCTTGCAATGGCCAGCAGGAGATCTCTCCAAAGTTTAGGCCTATAAACCAGTAGAATCATATACTGCTTCCTTTTTTCCTGACCATATACGGTAGGTTGCTAAAGCTATCTACATCCAAGGGGATGGGACAGTTCAACAGGCAGATGGCAAACTTTCTAAATTTGAGGCGCAGACCCAGAAAAAAGGCACTGCTTCTTTACCAAGTGCTGCCAGGTCCAGCCAAGCCCACTTTGAAATATTCATTCTCCTTTGGATCCAAACAGCTGGGCATCCCTGGATGTTGCCCAACAGCAAAGTGAAACTCTGTTCTGATAGGTTGAAAACGGTTTGATGTAATTGTCTCACCTGAGGTGACAGAAGGGATTTTGTAACTAGAAGTGATACGGTAATAGGGTGGATTATCCATATGTGTCACTCCAGAACTAACGGGATCAGTGAGCTGTAATTCGCTCACCAACTCTTCCAAAAGCTGCATGGTTTTATCTCTACCCAAGTAAACAATTACCTTCTTCACCTGCCATTCAAAGAGAAAATAAAAATCATTTAAGAATACTGTTAAATATACTAGAAAAATGGATTTTAATATAACAGTAACTTAATTTTACCAAACTGTAAATTTAGGAAATGATTGATTTTTTTTATTGGCAGACAAATTATCCAAGCTGGTTCTTAAAGATGGTTAATAATTGACTTATAACTGTCTTTTAACTTTTAACTAAACAAACTGGACAACATTTGTCTAAAATGATACAGGGTTTCCTGCTCGAGCAGAGGATTGGACTAGAAAACCTCAGAGGTCCCTTCCAAATCTATTATTCTATGTTCTACATTCTAATCATGTTTCATTATTTTTGAACCTATGTTTGCTGGAAAAGCAAAACCATTATATCCCAACCTAATTCCAGCTGCATAGTTAAAGATTTAATATTTCACCACCTGAAATGTTTGATCATATGGAACTCTGTTAATAGACTTCTTTTACACAAAGTTAATGAACGGTATAATTTTTAGAAATGTTTAATACTTAAACTCCTGCTGAAAATAACATTTTTAATAACCCAATCTAATCTATATTTAACAGAGTAAATGAAGTAGAAGTCTGCATTTCAGTTTAAAAGTACCATTACAGTTCCTAAATATTTCCCAACATGGAATTACTTTTGTTTAGAAATACTTAAAATGTTTGTATCCATTTTTAGACATGCTTATTTTTCAAACAAACATTCCAACTGCTATGTAAAATCCAATGTAAGGCCAAACATGGAAGGAATTGGCCCAGGATGATAGTGAGGTGGAACTGGAATTTTACACTGTATATTCTCTACCTGCCCCCCCCCTCTTTCTTCCTTTCTGACTCCCCCAAAGGTGCTTTTTTCAAGAGGCCACTGGACTTTGTTTTTCTTTGAAGACGTTTCACTTCTCATCCAAGAAACCTCTTCAGCTCTGACTGGATGGTGGGGAATGGAAGGATTTATATTTGTATTTTCTCTCTCTCCTTTTTATATACAACTCAAGGTGGTGATGATATCCGATATTCCTTTTTCTTCCTATTTTCTCCACAACAGCCCTGTGAGGCATGTTGGGCTGAGGGACTGGCCTGGTTGCTCAGTCAATAATCCTGTAGCCGGTTTTCCATCAGAAGTCCAGGAACTCAAACACCTAGTATGGTCCTTGTTGACCTAGGCAATGACTGTAATTAGTTTTCTATATTTATGTCTCGCCATGGGACATTTTCTATGGGAGAGACAATCTTTGTCCGACTCCTCTGATGTGACCTGTCCAGTACGGTTGAACTTCTGTCATAACTCTCATCTTCCTCAGAGCACACAAATCCCATAACCATGTTAAAGTATTGCCTCACTGAGGGATAATTATTATAATAACTATTTACAATCATAATAAATGGATGGTTCTATTTTCATTCTGCTTTCAGCACAGACAACTACAACTAGTAACATGGTCAGACTAAAAGCGATTCTTAAATAAAACATTTATGCCTACTTATAGGTAGCCCTCAAGTTACAACCAGTCACTTAGCAACTGTTTGAAGTTATGAAAAAGGAGACTTATGACTCTGAAGATCAGGCCCTAACAGCCACAGAAAAAAATATAAAATTGGGTGGGCCCATTTAACAACCATTATGAATTATGACCGTAATGGATAGGCTCCATGATAAGTCATAAATCGAAGACTACCTGCATTTAATATATATGATTGCCCATTTTACTAGAGTGAGGAATAGGAAAATAAGTTCCACATAACTTACATAAGGCAAAAGGCTGGGTTCACTATTTACTCCACAAATGCTGATTAAAAAATGCAGAATTATTTTCAGATTCTTTGGCCAACTGTCTGCTAGAGTAATCCAAACATTTTCAATCTCTGACCAAGCCACTTCATCACCATACTGGAAAACAAAGTTAAGATAAGAATTATTTCTCTGTTTAATGCTCAAAGAGATATATAATGAAAACACTGGGTATAATTTAATGTATTTTATGCAGAAGGTAGTTCCACAATGCTCAATGCTTTTTTCTCCCTAGTTTGCTTACAAATCTGGTCTACTCTGGCTGCAATATTGCTTTTTTCATGTTTAGTGCAACTTGCTGTGCCCGCCAGCTGCCAGCAGAGCTGGCAACAGACTTGGACAATGAGGAGGTTGGGGAGGAAGTTGGGCCAGTTCTGGAGTCTGGGGAAGGCTCTGATGGATGCTCTGCGTTGGACGCAGAGACAGAGCCAGGGCTTTCTGACATTTCCCAGCCACCAGAGAGGCAGCTGCCTTTGGAGGCTGAGATAAGTGAGGAGGAAGAACAGCTGGGGCCTGTTCCAGATGCACATATGTGCAGAGCAGTTAGGAGAGGTGAACAACTGAGGAGTCGACTTGGGAAGCAAAGCACACGTGGATGCTGAATGGCTCCTCCCTGGCTGGGGAATAAATAGAAGGAAAGAGGAGCAGTTGTCATAGGAGACAACAGTTCGTATTTCTGAAGATTTTGCCCATTATGTTTCATGAATCAAAGACTGCTTGCCAGAACTTAATTTGCAGCTTTTTGGCTGCGAGTTCACTGCCTTGCAATTATTGCAAAGAAGTGATCAGGTCTGTTGCTGCATTTAACTCCTTGCGGGACTCTTGCCTGGGCTTTTTGGTGAGTGAATGCCATTAATTCACAAGAGGTAAATAAAGAGGATTTTTTGTGTGTGACAAGGAGTCTGTTTCTTGCTTCGGCTAAGACTGGGTCAGAACAGAACTTAAATATACTTGTTTTTTTCTTTTCTTTCTTTTCTCAAAAAATACAGTTTACACACATTAGCATTCTGCTAGTGACAACCTGAGAAAACAACAGAACTCTCAAAATAATCCATCAATTACCCAATGCTTGGTTCAATTTACCTTTGCTGTCATATACATTAGGTTGTTTAAAACTAAAGCAGTTGCCTGGGGTGACCCCCAACCTTCGCCTCTCAACCAGCGCCTGCTGTTCACCATCAGTTCTCTGTCTTTTAGAAGATCCTCTTCCTCTTCCTCTTGCCGTCGAATTGTGGGTAAAGGTTTCACATCCATTAATTCAATGTTATTCATCCACGGCAGCAAATAGTGAAGCATCACCTGTCTTCCAGAGGGATGTGCTGTTTGAATTCTCTGGCTTACCTCTGTGTTTAATAATTTAAAAGTAAGAAAATATATATGTGTATGTTATCACAAAACTAATTTACTGGCAGCTATTTCAGCTTTTGGTCCTCCTGAAGTAACTATTGCTTTCATGTGAAAAGAGGAAAGAAAAGAAGTCCCTTTGACAGATTGTGAGAAGAGAGTATGACCTTCCATTACAGGGTAAAGAGGCTAGAAGGAGATAGAAGGAAGGAAATTCTCACGGATCCTGATACCCGTATCTTTTGGATTGGAAAGTTGGTCTACATCTTGAGCCCTCCACCACCACAAATGCTACTGAAAATGGTCTCAGAGAAAAGAGAACTAGTCATGTCCCAATCCCCTGAACAGAGCTAGGAGGGTACCATGACTGATGGAAGTCAAAAGCCGCTAATATACGGGTGTCAAACACGATTTCATTAAGGGCCGCATCAGGATTGTGTTTGACCTTGGAGGGCTGGGGTCGGCGTGGCCAGGATGGGCATGGACAGCTTGACGTCAATCGTGTTGGAAGCGCCTGTGGTGGTTGGAACGCTCTGCCAGTGAAAACGGGTTCCTGAGCTCTGTTTTCTGGTTGCAGCCTCCTGCAACCTTCTGCCAGCAAAAACAGAGCTCAGGAAGGCTGCACGTTTTTGTTGGCAGAGGCACCACAGGCTGGTCCTTCGCTGTTTCCAGGGCGGCCCCACAGGTCAGATCTAAGTACCCCGCAGGCCGGATCTGGCACGCAGGCCTTGAGTTTGACACCCCTGCACTAAAAGATCAAAAAGAAGCAGAATGGATGCACAAACATGATCAGGTTTGCCTCAATGCTACAAGCATTTGAATCCATACTGAAAGGACTCCAGATAATCATGCACAGAGAGCAATAACTACATATTAATTGCTTCAGAACAAGGCGGTATTATTAAACTGAGGATTATGTAGGATGATGCTTTGTTCTTAGCTTGACAAGTGTAACTTCACATTATATAAAAAGGCAAAGTATAGTTAATTGATGACTGGTGGGCGAAGAAAGGAACAAAAAGGCAATGCATATCTGTGCAGTGGTTATTTATCAGATGGGTTATGATGATCAGAGAATATAATAATTAGAGATTATGGATCATCACCATGGTACCAGTAATAGATACCATATAGGCCAGTGTTAAGAGAAAAAACTTGAAAATCCCTATAATTTGGTTTTGATAGTACAATAATTCCAAATAAATATTAAGAAATATGCTTTTTAAGGAAATACATACCTGAAAATATTGCAAGAGTTAATTCTGGATATGTTCTTGCTAATTCTTCTGAGAGCTGATAATAGGACACAGAATATAAATGTGGCAAAGGTGAAGGCTGACTCAATAGTCCATCAGTTCTCTGAACCTCCAGTTTATGAGCGTAGCGAAACATCTTAGGCTCTAGGATCTAAAAAATATAAATGTATTCAATAAATTCAGATTACTAAACAGTATGAAATTACGGACTCACAGGGAGACAGAAAATGTTAACTATGTTAACTTTCTCACTTTTTTCTCACTGTGGCTTAAAACATGAAATCAGCTTCTAGGTCTAACGCATCCTAGGATAGGGCAATGTTTCTCAACCGTAACCATTTAAAAATGAGTGGACTTCAACTCCTAGAATCTTATCACCAGCTGGGGTTGAGAACCACTAGGATAGACACTTCCTCTATTTGACCATCCTGGAGGTTGCAAGGTACGTGGTAGAGAATGAGAAGGAACCATTGAGACTTTTTCCCCTTTTGATTTAGGATGAGCTCTGGGGAAGAATTTTTAAGAAGCCACATTTTTGTTGTTGCAGGAACATCTGATTTTGCCTCTGGATTATCTCCTTCCCCCAAAAAAGGAAAATTTATATTTCTGTGGGTTTTTAATTTTTAAGTCTCTGAAAGGCTGTTCATTACATTTTACCTCTTACACAAAGCCCAAATACAAATACAAAATACCCTAAAAGGCTATGGAGAAGAAGAAAAAAAAACTATTCCCACTGGGCTAATCTGTGGAAACTTTCCTGAAATTAATTACAGTCATACATGGTAGTATAAAACAGTTTTAAAATTTAAAAGCCTCAAACAAAAATACATATGTACTGACAAAAAACATTTCATACTAACTTGCAAAAGCTGCATAGCAACTTCATAGATAGCTCTAGAAGAATCAGCTGCTTTAAATAATATAAGATTGAGAAGAGTAACAGTATCACACTGGTAATCCCTACGAAGAAAAGAAAGTATTAATAGCTAAGTGGCTTAAAAACAGAATAAATGATATACTTAAAAAATTTGCAGTGTGAACCCATATATAAGGCTACTTAGAAAGCTGCTCTATTTCCAAAAGCCTGATTAGCTCTGTTCAAAAGATGCATTTCGTTTAGTTAATTATTAAACCAACCTAGGGCTACAAAATTCTAGCTCACGGTTCAATGGTAACAAAAAGATTCAGGAAACTCTCTTTGCTTTAATGCAGGGGATATAATATACAGATTATTAATAGTTATACTCTACGCACTGCTTCCTTATCAGTGATTTTTGGTACTACGCAACCATATGGATTAGGTTCAAGCTAGAATATGGGGGAATACACAAGCATCCCCATATCTCCAGAAAATCTCATGAATCCTTGTATCAAGAGAATAACAGGACTACTCTTCTCCATTGATTAGATCAGAGGTGGGGAACTGTGGCGTCGTTATGACTTGTAGATTTCCAACTCCCAGAATTCCTGACCCAGCATGTTGAAGTCCACAAGTCATAAAAGGGCCATAGTTCTGCATCTGTTGTGGCCCGCCAGTGGCTAGCAGAGCTGGCAGCAGATTCAGACAGTGAGGAGATTGGGGAGGAAGATGGGCCAGTCCTGGAGTCTGGGGAAGGCTCTGATGAGGGCTCTGTGTCAGAGGCAGAGAGGGGGCATGAGCCGTATGCCCGTTATCAGCTGCCTTCAGAGGCAGACGAACAGCTGGAGCCTGTTCCCAGTGTGTGCATGCACAGAGTTGCTACACGAAGGGAACAACTAAAGAACAGGGGTCGACTTGGGAGTAAGGCCACAGGTGGACGATGAATGGCCCCTCCCAGAGGACATAAAAGAGGACCGAAAGGGGAGTGGAGTTTGCAGAAGACAATAAGTTTGTTTCATTGATTTGTGACTCTCCGGGACTCCTTGCCAAGTTTTGCAGATATCGGCCTGGCAGTTCCCTATGCCAGATAAGGTCTGTGACTGTAAATCCTCCCTTGAAAGACTCTGCTGGATGTGAATGAGCAGAATTCATAGTCAATTAATAAACATCTTTTTTGTCAGGATAAGGCGTTTGCTTCATGCTCTTGGGATCAGAACACCATCCCTGGATTAGACAGTGAGCAGCGGACAAAATTGCATGGGACATAAGAATACAGCACAAAGGAGGCATATTCTGTGGCTGTCAAGATCCTGCCAATGAATTGGCCAACTGCGGGCAGAATTCAGAACTGTTTCTCAGAGAATTGATTAGACAGAGCATTAGAATTACCCTTCCTTTGTATTCTTACAATATCCACACAAATCAGCTGAGTGAGATAATCCTCACAGCAAATCAGATAGTGGTGGTTTATGTCACGTTTATTCTGATAGTAACCCAATTATGCATATAGATTCGTGGGGAGAACCCGAAGTTACCCACATATTGAACTGCTACTGTCCTCACTATTAGCTGTGCTTTTTAAGATGGATTATCTGTAAAATTTAGGGAGCCGTTGCTTCCCCACCATGGCACATACAATAGCAACTTCAATTGATTCCATTATAGCTAGTCCTTGACTTATGACCACAATTGGGGCTGGAAATCTGATTGATTGTTGTTGCAGTCTTAAATCAAGATGCTCACATGACCAGACGCATTTTTCTCACATTTTTTGTGGCGATTGTTAAGTAAGCCCCTCAAGTTGTTAAGCGAACCACGTGGCTGTTAAGCGAATGCCACTGTCGTTAAGCGAACGCATTTTTCTGAATATTGCGCCCGTGGGATGTTTCAACTGGTCGTACATGCAAGCCAGGTTGCCAAGGGCCTGAAACTTCACTCATGTGATCATTGGAGGGGGGAGAATGTGTGCTATGACATTTTATAACAACCAAAAGTTACAAAGCACCTTTTCCAAGGCAGTCATAAGTCAGAATGGTAGTAAAATGACCAGTTGTTCGTCCCAGACTACCTACACCCGTATTCTAAATTCTTTCTTTAATACCTGTTTTGGAATACGCTGGCTATGGCTTTAAAACATCCGGCTGCTACACGCTTCGAGCCTGTATAACAACGGTCTACAGCCCAATACATGAGGTTACTCTGGTCAGGGTTGAGTTCCAACAGCAACATAACTGCTTCACAACCAAGCTGATGCACCTAAACAAATACAATATAAAATTCAAGTTCTGCCTTGTTGCTTCTTTGTTTCTAGTAACAAATATGTGAATATGCATAAAGAGTAAAGACTTAATCTATAGAATTCCCTGAATTAAGCTATTATTAAATAGGGGAAGAAGCCTATGGGCCCATATGAATTTGCAGCCTCTAAAAATGCTGAAGGTAAAGGTTCCCCTCGCACATATCTGCTAGTCGTTCCCGACTCGAGTGGGCGGTGCTCATCTCTGTTTCAAAGCCGAAGAGCCAGCACTGTCCAAAGCCGTCTCTGTGGCCATGTGGCCGGCATGACTAAATGCTGAAGGCGCACGGAACGCTGTTACCTTCCCACCAAAGGTGGTTCCTATTTTTCTACTTGCATTTTTACATGCTTTCGAACTGCTAGTTTGGCAGAAGCTGGGACAAGTAACAGGAGCTCACTCCGTTACGCGCCGCTAGGGATTTGAACTGCTGACCTTTCTGATCGTCAAGCTCAGCTTCTTAGCCACTGTGTCCCATTTTGCAGACTCTAGAGCAGTGATGGCAAACCTTTTTCTTACGGCGTGCCAAAATTGCGCACACGTGTCCACACCAACTCAATCCTCCCTGCCCACCTTCGCATGCGTGTGCGACACCCTCGTGCCTATGCGCGTGACCCCTCCCCAGGCTTTATGGAAGCCTGGGGAGGGCAAAAATGGCCTCCCCCGATCCCCAGAAGCCCTCCATGGCAACAGATCGTTCCCAAACTTCCGGTTGACCCATTGGGGCAGTTTTTCACCCTCCCCAGCCTCCGGAGGCTTTCCTGAATCCTGGGGAGGGCGAAAAGCTGATGGCTGGCATGCCAGCAAAATGGCTCCACCTGCCACCTGTGGCAGGTGTGCTACAGGTTCACCATCACAGCTCTAGAGTTTCCCAAAAAGCCAGAATTTTTGAACTTTTTTAATGGGAGAGGAGATTGAACATTTTAAGAGACCTAAATATTCCAAAGTTGGCTAATTTATTCCTGTTCTGGAAATTAAGAAACAAAATGGATTATAATCTAAAATCCCCTCAATCTTCCAAATTGAGAAAAGAGGGTTGTTAAAAGGAATATATTACAGCAATATTATTTGTATTATATTATTTGTATAGTTATTGCTTTTAATCTTGTAAGCCACCCAGAGTTGCTTTGTGGCAAGATAATTGGCAAACAAATTTAATTAATAAATAAATTTCAAAATGGGGGTCTTGTCCTCTCTAAACACATCAGGTCACCAATGTTTACTTCCTATCTCATGGCACAGAAGTGCAGCTTGTAGATCAAAAAAGCTGATCTACCCTTGAGATAGGCTAAATAATTTATGTCCTTCCTAAACTCAGTAATTGCATTTAAAAAAATCCAAACCAAAAAGAACAGCTCTCTCATTCTGTTAGGATTAGATGTCCTGATTCTAATTATTTTTAGTGTATAGAGATTTACCTTTTTTCAGTTCCTCTACTTTTAACCCCTTATTATCTGACTTCAAACAGAGATTTTAAGTTATCAATATTGCACACAATACCTTTTTATCCTGAGAATCCAAAATATTATCTAGCCATTTGTATAAATAGCCATCTGGTGAAAGTCCTACATTATCTGCAACTGGACCACAACACAGCACTGCAGACATCGCCTAAAAATGGATGAAAATATCAGACAAACTGGACCGTGTTCCTATTTAAATTAAACAAATATGTTTCCCCCTCCTCTGTACTATATATCAATATATGCTATATGTCATATTTATATCATAAAAGTTATATAATTATATTTACAGTATATCATATTTATACAAAAATATATTTGTAAGTATTTATTATTTCATTCCCCAAGAACTAAGAAACTGAACATTCTTTTGTTGCATGCATTTATATTATTTATCAAGGATCATAATTATTTGGGGCAGTAAAGGATTTTATTTTGTGCAATTACTGCCCAATTATTTGGCAACCACTATCAAAGAGTTATGCTCGTTCCAGACAATTGTGAAATCATATGTAATGACATAACAACATTCTACAATAAAGGCTAAGGATGTGAGAGCTTATTACCTTTAATGCACAGTACTGATGCCTATTTATCTGCATATTTCTATCACTGTATCTGTCCAAGGGAGTGAACATGATGCTGAAAGGTCCAGCCCAGTGGCTAAACAACATAAACAGACTGTGACGGAGGCTTTGCTGTGGAAAGACGCTCCTTCTCTGATGCACTGCACAACAGTGGAAAATAACAGAGGAAACGTTTTGTAACAAGTGAAATTAAATTAAAACATCAGATACAATTGTTTATCGTTTAAAAAAAAAATGAACTAGCCAAATATTGAGATTTTCGTCAGCAAAGTCCATGAGAGTGCAATAAAAGTCTCTCCCCTTGTAATATTACCTTGATCTGTAATCAGATCAAACTTTCAGATCCTCACAGGAGAAAGGGCATCTCTGATGCAGGACCTCAGAACTGAGCACCCAAGTCAAGTATGCAAAAATCTACTAGCCTATTGCCCAACTGGAAAGAGGACTCCATCCCCTAAAAAAAAAAAAAAACTGGTGGCGAGAGGGATCCGTCCACCAAGTATGGGATCTGTCTTACTTCAGACTGGAGATCCTGTTTGTGGAATATCTCACTGATACACTGATTTGTCGATATAAATTACAGAAGACATGAAAAGACAACTT